AACGTCTCCTATTCACTGGCAATAAGCTCATTACATGGTGGTAACATAGTAACAGAACAGACGTTTAGTGCCTGTCATCATTACTTTAATCCCCATCCTACGGCGCAGGCCCAGTAGTACATTCCTAACCATATATTGTATTTGGGTTACTTACACAGAGAGCTTGAGCGAGCCAAACCAGCGCAGAGGAGAAAGTCACATGATTATTCGGCCATCTCCCGCATCACTTCTTGAGCTATTCCTGGCGCGAACGAAAGCGCGAACGATTGCTCGAGCGAACGGCCGAATTGTAGAATTGAGCACGCCTAATGACAGATACCGACTCGAAATACAAATCAATTTATAATGCCACCGCTCGCCCAGCCAGATCTGCCTTTGCAGGGATCTGGAAGCCGCACAGACGGTTTGGATAGTAGTGCCGCAGCACCGGCCGGACTGTCACCACAGTATGCATTGCGTATTTCATGAAGGGGTGACCGTTAATCCACTAAGTGTGGCTGGATCGATACAATCGTTGTGCACACAGCTGTACGGACACGTACACGAGAAGCCATGAGATTCAGAGAATGCTGTAAGTTGGGCCACGATGGTTCTAGTGCGTATGTACGTTTTACGTCCATCGAGAGTCACGGTTGGACAGATTCTAGATAGTGAGTCAAGGATACATATGCAGCCATTCGCACCACGTGCAGGCTTCGTACACCGTATACCGGATTATTGCCTGCTGCTCGCATCTTTCATAGCCCTGACGACTTTGTCGCAGCAAAGAAGGTAAGATCCAACGTTCTCTTATCAGAATGGCCTCTGTTGGTACGTACCACTTACGTCTGTAATCTTACCAGAGTCACAGCGTACAGGTAAGAGAACCCAGTCATCAAACCATGGCGAAGTTAAATCATCGCTTCGGACTCGAATCCAACCCCCCCAACCCTCCCGCTAAGGCCATGGTCAGCCTAAAAGATGAGTCCTCGGCCAGCTCCGGTGCGCACCTCCACGCCCAGTGCCTCTAACATAGTTCATACTATATGCATTGATGTAGGAACACTCACGCGCTGCGGGAACGGTATGCCTAATGCTTCCCAGTCTGGAAGTGGGCTGGTGGACGGCAGTTTGTGCTGGACCTACGGCTCGACGCGCAGGACATACTCGCAGGTGCTCACACATCAGCTTGGGCCGGACTTGCAAAGACAGCTTCTGGTGAGCACCGTGCCTTTCCTCTACTATTCGTGATCCTGACCTGTGTGCCCTCGCATCGGTTTACTGCGAATAGAAGGACGTTGTGCAGCTCGCAGGGAACTACCTCGACTTCAACCTAACGATCAGGCAGCAGGCGTCTGGCCAGTGGGAGGCCTTCATCGAGGATGTGAGTAGCTTGTGACCTCTTGAAGACTAACCGGACGTCTGATATTTATACGTGTCCAAGGCATCCGCCCAGTTTCCTATCTTCGCCAAATATCCCTCGTCCTGGCCTCTTCGGGACTACATGTGCCGGTACTTGTGCAACAGGTCGAACTCCAGAAGAAGGAAATCACGAGCGCTGGGAGAGACAGCGAAGAGCGGGACTGGTGATAAAGAGAACGAGGGTATGGGAGCATCAGCTTCCCAGGCAGTGGTGAAGGTGGGTAGACGGGCCAGGAGGATCGAGACTTACCATCGAGCTGGCAGCATCCTGGTGAGTCTTTCGTGGTGCTGAGTGGATGTGGGACAGATAGTATGGTAATGTAGACTGGCAAGAAGTCTTTCGCGAAGGCGGCGATCCGAAAAGAGGTCAAGACAAGAATAAAGAAGGGTAAAGTACGTAACTCTTATGCTCCATATCGAGACATGGAGTCTAAAGCACTCGTCTCTCGTAAAGGCACAGGTGTATGTCGACGTGCCGCCGAGGGCGTCCGTACCAGCCTCCGCCGCCCGCTCACCTTCCGCCGCCCCCACCCTCGCATCACCCTCCCCTCCACCAGGTTCGCCCGCGCCGCAAACCGACAGCGACACTTCCGAAGAAGTCAAGGCATTCCTCCGTACCCTCACCCCGAGCATGGACCACCTCCACCCCAAGCTTCTCGCGCTCGGATTTCGCGACTTGAGTGCGATCGCTGCGTGGCCGAAGGAACGGCTGGAGGCCCTGCTGGAGGAGCTCGTGAAGAGGGAGCAGGTGAATTGGTTCGACGCGTGGGTGGTCAAGTGTGGGCTCGAGGCAATCAAGGGTTAGGATGGGAGGGGGGAGGGGGGTAAGACGCTGGGAGGTGATAACGGGATGTAGTTTGCGATTATGCTGAGTGTAGTCTACCTATGTTGTTGTTTGTTGTATGTTCCGCCTGTAAGCCTTATATGTAGTCCTTGGTTTCCTTTGATGTATCAGTACTCTGGTAGTACGGAATGGTACCCCCGACCCGAAGATCTGCCGTAGCTGACCTTTATTCAGCCAGACCGTAAGCAGGTACAGGAGTCGATACAGAGAAATCTGTCCAGACTGTCGATTGGAAGCGAGATCCAGGTCAGGCATGGGTAGATACGTTGCCCTAGCGCACCGATGATGAGCCCGAACCCGGACGATAGTACACGGCCTATACCTTGCAACCGTGCAACCTTAGAAATTCCTGACATCTCTGTCCCACCAGTTCGCTGGTTAGTGAATCTGACAGAGGAATGGGACGAAGTAGGTATGCGTTAGCGGGATCTCAGGGGAAAGCGATGGGTTTGCATCTGCCGTGATAGACGTGTTCGGTGACGTACGCAGACGTCGTGCGGATTACGAGCCAAACGCGCCTCGTAACAAGTCGATTCGTGCCGGATACATAGGCGTTCGAAATAATGGAGACTGTAGAAGTATCCAAGCCTACGCATCGAAGTGCGCTATCACCACCTTCGGTGGCATCAACTAAACGGCATGTCAGGATGGCGGGGCACTACAGGACAACCCACGCACGACTCTGAGGGTGCGTCATCTGGTAAGGCAGTCTACGAGTACCAAGACGACGCAGCCGTCACGAGGATGGCTGTCCCTCGACGTCTTGGATAAGGATTGATTGCGTCGAACGCAGGGAGGCGAGGACGACAGATATGAAGATGAGGATACCGAATCGACAAGTGCAAAACCGAGACTCGGAGTTGTCAGACAGCGTAGAGTGATCACTGAGCAGATGTCGTGTGTTGCTACAGATGGCTGGAGGTCAGATTTCCACCTGAGATAAAGGCAGCGGCCCCAAACTCGAGATTATATCGGTAAGCCAAGTTGATTATTGCAGAACATGGTCAGAGGGGAAATTCAATGATGGGAGGTATACCTCGGGATATCTTCGCCGTCTGACATGAGCTATACACAGTCGGTGGGATGACAAACACTACGGAGATGTGACTGCTATACGCCCTGAGATGGTGAGCGGCAAATATTCGATGTTCGTACACTCCTTCTCTTTCTTGAAACCTGCTGGTCCAGACAAGTCTTCGGATCAAGGACACAGCCCTTGTCCGGAGACTGACTACTGAAGGATGGGGGACAACGTAGAGAAGAGGCCACTGTCGACCTGAGATGACGAACGGCAAATCTTTGATGCACGTACCTCTTTCCCTCACAGTACCTATTCCTCCCGCTCATTCTTCGGAATCAGCATCAGAGTCGTCATCGCGGTGGCCACAAGTGAAAGCATAGGAGACAACAAGAAGATGAGGACACCGTGCAAATGGAGAGGATGAACGAAAGACGTTGGATGTTTATACCTCCGGCCCTTCCTTGGACCATGCTCGCAAGCCTGCTCCCTCCGACCATTCTTCCGGGCATCAGAGTCGATGTGCAGCTATCAAAAGATCAAGTCCAACATTGATGACTACAGCGCCGAGAAATGTCTCGTTGACTGAGCCGACGTCAGGTTGAAACTCGTCAATCCATAGCATGGGCCGTGATACAGGTGGTCTCCATGCTAAATCAGACTGATTGAGAGTAGGTACTGTATGTCTATGTATGTAAGCGACGTAACGCGTAACGCAGCCTCCGTTGCGTTACCCGGAGCGCACTTGGTAACGCGTAACGCAGAGGTTGTTGTCTTCTCCGGGGAAGTGTAACGCTCGTCAAAAAATTCGACTTTTGGTAGGATTTAGCTACGAATATTATTCCGTCAATATATCTCAGCAGTTAAAAATCAAGTATTATATTGTAGAGTGCTTCTTTGCATCCCTAATATGGAAGGATCATATGTAGAAGCGCATGGGTACTGGTCGGGTTGCGGTTGCTAATTTTACCAATGTAACGCGTAACGCCGGCTTTGTTACTTCGAGGGGTGCCATTTCAAGGTGTAACGCTGTGCGCCCGGTTGCTTACATACATAGATATACAGTATGGGGCAACGGTACTTGCCGGGCCCTATCCGCAGGCACTTCTTAACTTAGGAGACTCTCCGTAAACGGCAATGATCGTTATGTCGACGGAAAGCATCCGAAACCTCCCGAGTTCTCTTCCATCGCAGCACACTCGCTGCGCACTGATCAGTTGCTTTCGGAGCATTCTTTGTCCATATGCATATCGCTGTGAACCCCACCCCAAGCATGCATCCTAAGTTCCTGAGACGAAGAGTGTGTCGCCTGATTATCTGCTGCTGCGATTATCCATTCCACAGGACGTTCGGCGCATGTTTTGGGAGGCGTTTGTCAGTTGCGATCAAAACTGATGATTGCAGCCTCGTGCTGCGACTCGTAGTGTGATCAGTTACTACCTCGCGCGACGTATGAATCTGTGACGGCTACATTGTCTGAACGTCAAAAACACCAAGCGCAGAGCGTTAAGGACATCGCGGGTCTTTCTGGTCGGTAAGCTCTTTACGTCGCCACAATGGCGACCCATGCACGATTGGACGCCACTCCACCCAGGTCCCGAAAACCCCGCTTAGATTCAAATCCCTCGGACCCGCACCTGAACGGATCCATGCGCCCAGCACCGCATCCGCGCGCGGGCCCCGACCCTCCTCCCGATCGTATCCCTGGCTACCGCCCCGGCACGCCCGGCAAGCGTCTTTCTCCTGGTGGCACGTCCACATCGAAGGGGAGCCCTGTGTGCCACCCGCGTGGGCCTGCGTATATATGCCCCGCGTGCTCGCTGATATTTATACGCCTTTCTTTCCTTCCTTTCTTTTCTCCTAGCTCAAGCCCTGGTGGTCGTCCGCTCCCCTGTATCTGCCCTCGTCCCTGTATTTAACGTCTTCAAGCCCGAGTCCAAGTCAAAATGCGCTCGTCCATATCCCTCGGTCTCCCCTTTGTCGCGTCCCTCGTCTCATCAGCATGGGCTGCTACGTACGCGCTGAGCGACAACCACGTCGGGCAGGACTTCCTTACCTCCTTCACACACGAAGCAATCCCGGACCCCACCTCCGGCAGAGTGTAAGGGCCTTTCCCACTTGGTGGCAGGCTAAGTACTGATTGGTGCCATTCATGTTATCCAGTAACTACGTCGACCAAGCTACGGCACTCTCCAAGAACCTGACGTTCACGTCCGCCGACAGCCTCATCATGCGTGCGGACGACACGACCGTGCTCACCGCGTCCGGATCAGGGCGGGACAGCGTGCGCATCAAGTCCGTCAAGACATACACCACGCACGTCGCTGTGTACGTCTTCCACCGATCCACGATCACCGAGTGCATAACTGACCTCGACGCAGCTTCGACGTCCGGCACATGCCGCAAGGCCTGTCCACCTGGCCCGCCGCCTGGGAGACGCTCGAGGACGGGTGGCCCGCCTCAGGCGAGGTCGACATCCTCGAGGGCGCAAACGACGTCACGCCGAACCAGAGCACTCTGCACACCTCGCCGGGCTGCACGATGCCCGACGGGCGTGCGCAGACCGGCGCGGTGGTGACGGAGGACTGCGGGGATAGTGGAGGAGCGAACCTCGGCTGTGGGGTGCACGCGCCGACGAGCAACAGCTTCGGGCCCGCGTTCAACCAGAACGGCGGCGGGTGGTACGCGATGGAGCGCACGAGCACGTTTATTAAGGTGTGGTTCTGGGCAAGGAACGACCCCAGTGTGCCCGCGGATGTGTCGTCGGGCGCGCAGAGCGTGAACACCGATGCCTGGGTGCGCCTTTGCCTCTTGATCTCATCTCGTCGCGCGGATACTGACTCGCGCGGATCCGATAGGGCACGTCCACCGCGTTCTTCCCGAACACGGACTGCGATATCGCGAGCAAGTTTGGACAGAACAACATTATCATCAACCTGACCTTCTGTGGCGCGTGGGCGGGCGCCACGTTCGCGCAAGCGGGCGGGCAAGGTGATTGTGCCAGTGAGTATCCCGTTTCATTGTACTCCTCCTCTTTCATGTTCAGCACTTTCGCTGTCTCCCAATGCTTTCCTTCCCCACCTCGTCCGTTTTCCGCGCTGTCTGGTATGATGCTCACCCTGTCCTCGCAGCCTACGTCAACAACAACCCCTCGGCCTTCTCCGAGGCGTTCTGGGACATCGCCGCGGTCCGCGTCTACACATGAGCCCGCCCGCGCCGGGCCAAGTCCCTGGCGGACCGAAGGTAGCAGGTATTTATGAAGGCTATTTATTCGCCGCTGAGAAAGAGCAACAGGAGGAAAGGCAAAGTGTACTACTAACAAAAGCATGGCGGGTCCTGTCGTTGTCGTTCGTTGATTGATTCATTGGCTGTATATACCCGCAATTCATTCGTTTTCCTCGCTCGGTTCATCCATCCCACTTTTGTGACATATGTATGCCGGTGAGCTAGGCTGATGATAAATAGCTTGACACGTCTGGCCATGGTAAGTCTCAGGTTACGAGGAGAAGATATCGGCATATCGGCAGGAGTCCGCGACAAATAAAAGTACAAATCTGCCACAACATAGAGACGCATCTCACCACGCCACATCCTATGGTTGTCCATTGGTTTATTGCAGCGGATTCCTCCTAGGCGCGTCTTACCGTCGGACTACTATCGAATACTGCTAAGACTTACATCGACAAAGTCTGAAGTATCCTTACAATGTAAGTTATTGCCTTGCTAGTCTGCGCTCACTCTATCCTGTTTCGCGCAGCTTGGACCACTGCATTGACCTATTTACTCTATCCTGGCCTGGACGCAGTGAGTGAATGGGACCATGCTCGGATAGCCTCCCCGTAGGATCCGCGTGTGCACGTTAACACACGTACTGAACCATCTCTATCCGAAAGTGCTTGTGCTGCGCTGTTCTGTCGCCGTGTCATGGTTCTCCACCGCACTGACCAAAGACAGCGATTGTGTGTCCCTCTATTGTGAATGCGCAACTACCACTCACACGCAGTCTCCGACTCGCTCTCAATATAAATGCCAGCCATTTCGCTCAATGCCGAGTTGAAGTGGGACTGTGCCTCCCGAGTGCACAGCTCCATGCGGTATGGTTGCTTCATTGGACGCCCATGACGGCTCCGGTAGCACCGTAATATCAAGTCTACTCTCGCCTCGCAGCTAACTGCAATACGCTAGCGAAGGCGCCCATTTCTTCCGCTGGGGCGCCTTCCGCAGCAATCCATGGAAGGTGGTAAGTATGGCTCCATTGCCCTACGCCCGACCTTCAGCGCAGCGCTAAGCAGGGCGCTAATGTCCTTCGAAAAAGCAGTTCGCCACCCTCGGACCCTTGTCGGTACTCCTTTTGGTTGAACATGGCACTATTTGGCTTCGGACCGGAATCTACGAGTAGAGTAAAATCCAGACTTCCGCTGTCGACTTGCATTTATCTGGGAAGTGCCGGCCAATCCACGCTCCATCCGAGCACATGCCACAAGGAGAGCAACCACGCGCTGTGATGTATTGACCTTTGGATAGAATTCACCTCCCACTTTCTGCGTGGCTGAGGCGTGTCCCTTGGGTATATCTGTACACCTGATGTGGAGTCCTCCAGTTTCTCCCGCAAGAACGCCGTACGTTCTTTACTTGGTGGGAACCCTTGTATTGTGGGTGCAGCTCGCCAAAGCCATCCCAGCCCCGCTGCGTGTTTCAGTGCTCTGTGACCCAGCTTCTTGGGCGGACGTTCTCGTTTTTCTTCTCACGAATTATATCGCCCATGCAGGTACCGCTGTCTCCTCTCCGGGAGCCTCATGGCCGCATGCGCTCGCCTGGAGAGTTCTCGTGGTCCTTGTACCATTTGCAAGTCGACAGTATTCACTGAAGATAATGGAACGCAAGACTGCAATGGGCGCGTTCGAACGAAGAGGTGACCTCTACGATGCGCTGGTCAGAAGGGCTCTGGGGGTGGCCACCCGAGACGAGAAAGGGACCCCTCAGATGCATCCGAGAAGTGACAGGGTGCATCTGATTTCGCCGAGGGTTTCTCTGGATACAGCCCCCAGTAAGTGGTCAGGAGATCCATGCGTGGGAGAGCATGGCTTGCTCTATGCACTAGAAACGGCGGGCGGGCCCCTCGGCGTGTCTCAAAATCACCTCGGGACGCCAACGCGCGAAGATCACTCCGCGCGATCGCACGATTGCAGGTACATGTAAGACCACCCTCCCGGAAGGATACACCTGGGCAGAGTTGGACATCCAAGACGTGGCTGCCCGCCTTCCCGAGCAGCTTGAGGAAGACAACAAGCATATCAATCTTCTTCCAAAGTCGCACAACAACACATTGCAGGCAGCGGTCTCGATATCCCAGCTGGTCCTGTCCCCGATTACATTACATTATATCGGCACAAGGGGAGAGCAAGTGGGCCGCTTCGGCTACGCGGCCTTTGGGCTGTCTGTATTCCCCTATACCCTCATGTCCATCATGAGCCTCCTCGGAGGCCTCATTATTCCTGATTTCCCATGCATGTTCGTACTGAACACCGCCGTTCTGCAGCAAGTGAGGGAGCGGGGGCCACGTATTCAACTTGATGGAAGCATCGGGATCATACCACCAGAGGACGTCGGTGGAAACAGGGCGATCCGCGCCGCGTGTCTCTCCCTCAGGTGCTCAAGCGGGATTCCGGGTGACGGGGGGAGACTATTAAACCGACTTCATCCTCAGAGTTGCAATGGACGGAGAGGGGGCCGGGGGAGGGGGGGGGCGAAAGATTTTCAATGTGGCGGATTCAAACTCGAAATGCACTTTTTGCCTTTCAGATCCCTTCCACCACAAAGCAAGCCCGGGCTGTCACTTCACCTCCCATCCAAGCCTCGACGGCCACCGCGCAGCACGCCAGTCCTCGCGGTGAGCATTTCCGTCCGGCCGGGCGTTCCCACCGCGCGGACTGCCCTCAGAAAATTCGCAGCTCCATTTGGAGAACATGGTGATTCCCCTTCGATAGTACTGGGGCGTGCATCCCCCCACCCGCGCGGAACACAGCTGCGGATGGGACCTCTCCCGGGCGTACGTATACGACGAAGAGAGGGAGAGACGCATCGGCAGCCCACGCTTCCCCGACGCAGCCTCTTCAATCCGGCGTTCCTGCCTACCCTCGCGCTTCCATATTTCTTCATCTACGCACATGGCGTGGCTGAGCACCGGGCAGTATTGTGCGCCCAATTATCGCACACTCGCTTTCTCCTCCTTTTGACTCGCGCCGCGCATTCCCGTCCTATGCATGCCCCCGTGTTCACGCCGCGCAATAGTCTGCGCGATCGGGGGTTTGGTCGAGGTGAGCGAAAACGGACCTCGACGTGGGGTCATGCGCGATAGCTCCGTCCTAGTCCTAGTCCTAGTCCCCACGATCGGCTGCGCGGGCGTCCGTGGGTGGGGCAGGGGTCGACTGCCTCCGTATTACGGCTGATGTCACTCGTGATGGTACTCGTAGCCGGGGTACTGGCGGTGTAGCGCACGAAGCTGGCGTGTATTGGTATTTGGTTCCCTCGCGGCGTGCGTCGTCGTCGTCGTGGAGGGCATCCGACTCTGGCATTATATACGCCTCCTGAAATGCGCGCCGTGATCGCCTGGCGGCGATGATGCCCCCGCGCTTTATGGCTGGTTAGGTCAACAACGACAAAATTCATTTTTGGGCGCACCGCATGTCCGAGTATCGCACGATCCGGAGCGGGCGAGCGGGCGGGCGGGCGGGCGGGCGGCCCTGTGCGCACACATGCTGTCCAGAAATCACGCCGCGGTGACAGAAGAAGATGGTAGGATGAGAGATATATAAAGGGGGCAGTGGTGGGTGGAATGCGAAGAAAGAGAGCGGGGGCGATGTGAGTGGGGGAAAACGAACTCGAGCTCGGGGATGAAAGACTAGGCGCGCACCAACTTGGGCCGCCGGAACCGCCCTTTGCCGCTGGATATGCAGCGAACACGTCCGCCCGCATCTCAGGATATACACATATGTAGAGAGGCCAGATGGACGTGTGCGTGCGGAAAGGGACGGAAAGGCAGGAGAGGGAGGGGGTACAAGGCAGGAGAGTCGGAGATCGTCCGAGCCCGTCTCCGTTCTCCGACCAGACTGGATACTGGATACTGAACGGGGCCCGGCCGGGGACAGCGGCAGACGCAGAGCTTGTTGGACAGAAAAAGAGGGAACATACGATTGTTCCTTTTGCGAGATAGATGGATGGCCGGTCGTCCCGACCGGCGACTGACAACTGGCACCTAACAGAAGAGTGGTGCGCCCCGGCCACGGGAAGAAGCGGGAGATTCGATTGTGGGGAAGGAGGAAGGCGGGGGAACAGCAATAGAATGCAGGACCGTCCTGCGCGCTGGGAATCGTGTCCGACATCGAGGAGGCGAGAGCGGCGGGGTGTGGGAGGCAGGAAAGGAGGGAGGAGAAGCGCAGGGCGATGCGTGCAGGCCAGCGACGAAGGTTGGTCAGTGACGCGGTCGCGGCCCCGACTTGGCGTGTGCGACGAGGAGGAGCAAGGACGAGACAGAAAACACGGAGAAGGACAGTATCCTTTTGTTTTCAGCCGCGCCCTCGGGCCGGGTCGCTCTGGACAGGAAAGAATCGCGGCAGGGCAAAGCACATAGCGAGCACTGACTGAAGAGGAGAGTATCGCCCGGCCCCGGCCCGACAACTTGCCGATCGACGTCATCATCGCCCCCAATCTATTCCCAGACAGACGCGGATTGATAAGTCGCGCTCCCGTGGCGGATATAAACCCCTTCTCCCCCCATCCTACACAAAGAAAGCGACCGCAACATGTCCGGCGAACAAGTCAAGATGGAGTTCGACCCAAAGAACATGCCCTTCCGCCAGCTCGGCTCGAGCGGCCTGCGCGTCCCGCTCTTCTCGCTCGGCGGCTGGCTCACGCTCGGCGGCACCGTCGTCGGCGACCCCGTCAAGGTGCGTGCGTGCGTGCACGGTGCGTCGACTAGTACTGACGCCGGCGCCGGCGCAGGAAATCATCAAGGTCGCGTACGAGAACGGGATCAACATGTTCGACACCGCGGAGGCGTACGCAAAGGGCAAGTCCGAGCTCGAGATGTGCGCGGTCCCTCCCTCTCCCATCATACACTGCTGACAGACGCGCAACAGGGGCCGCGTGATCAAGGAGCTCGGCCTGCGCCGCACGGACCTCATCGTCACCACCAAGATCTTCTGGGGGCCGCGCGACGGCCCGAACGACAAGGGCCTGTCCAGGAAGCAGTGCGTGTCCTCTTCCCTCGTGTCATATCTCACTCACCCCCGCCAGCATCATCGAGGGCACGCGCGAGTGCCTGCAGCGCCTCCAGCTCGACTACGTCGACGTCCTCTTCGCGCACCGCCCCGACCCGACCGTGCCCATGGAGGAGACCGTCCGCGCGTTCCACTGGGTCATCGAAAAGGGCTGGGTCTGTCCTCTTCTTTCCACGTCTGGCGCATCCGCGCTCATCCGTCCGTGCTAGGCCCTGTACTGGGCCACCTCCGAGTGGTCCGCGCGCGATTTCGAAGAGGCTATCCGTGCGTCCTCCATTCCCCGTTCCGACCGCGGAGTGAATCGCGCCTGACGACGAGCGCACAGACATCGCGGACAAGTACGGCCTGCACAAGCCCGTCGCGGAGCAGTGCCAGCACAAGTGCGTCTCCGTCCTCCCCTCCAGAGCTGCGAGCTGGTTGCTGACCGGTGACCCCCTGTGCCCGCCCCGGACAGCATGTTCCACCGCGAGCGGCCCGAGAAGGAGTACCTGTGCGTGCCGTTCGTCTTCCCCTCCTTGCCCTGTGGGCTGACGGTCTCTCTCGTTGTTTCCGTCGTCTTCTCCCCCGCCGTCTCCGTCCTTCTGCGCACGCCGCCACCTGACTACTCGCGCCACGCCAATACTTACTATTCGATTCGACTGCTGCAACGCGCAAGGCCGTTGTACAAGAAGTACAAGATCGGCACGACGGTGTGGAGCGCGCTCGCGAGCGGGCTGTTGACGGGCAAGGTGCGCGGCTTCTCTTCCCGCCTATTTCCCTCCTTCCCGATTTCCTGTTCCCCACGCTTTCCCGCTCTCCCTTTCCCCACGCTCTCCCGCTTTCCCGCTTTCCCTTTCCGCACGCTTTCCCTCCCCTCCCCTCCCCCTCGAGCCCGTATCACCGCTGACCCCCCCCCCCCCAACCAACCGACAGTACAACGACGGCGTCCCGCCCGGCTCGCGCTTCGACCTCAACAAGGACTTCTTCAAGAACACGCTGCAGGCGCTCACCGAGCAGGAGGGGCTCGCGAAGATCGAGAAGGTGAGGAAGCTCACGGGGGTCGCGCAGAGTGAGTGGTTTGTCTGGCGTCTTCGTCTTCGTCTTGCTCCATGATTCCTTCCTGCATCCCCCTTCGTCCGCCTCCCCCCCAACCCCCACACACACCACACACCGATCGCTCACCCCCCCCACACCACACACCGCTCACCACCCCCCCCC